TATGTATACACACACACACACACATATATACATGTTTGAGTAAATTATCAGCCAATGTTGATTTGTTCAACTTCTAATCCCACTTTCTCAGGATGTAGTGATGGAAGTTCTAATCTTATAATCACATAGTCCTTTTGCAACCAATTTTCTATGGATTTTCATCCATCAGTCATCACTCTAACAGAAACTCAGGGACTTATTATGAATAATAAAAGTAACTTCTGTCACTTAGGAAATGTTTTCACAGCTCTGTGCCAGAAACCAGAGACAAAAAACCAAGTATGTATTAGCTTTTTATATCATAATAGCAGTCTCTATTAATTTGGTTATGCAGATTAAGTCACCAAAGTAACTTTGGAATTCATGGATCCATTTCTATTCTTCCACACCAAGCTATTTTGCTTTCTTAATCTCATTCATCTAAACCATTGCAGTAGTTAACTTTTATAGTACGTGTATTTCCCGATTATGAACATTCCTCTATATCACTCCTAAGGAATACTTTTTCTTGTAAAGCCATGAATTCTTCACATAGCCAATATATATAAAATAACAAGTACTCATGTGATCATGATTAAGTTTTAAAAATATAGACTAGTAGAGCTGAATTTTCCTGCAGATTCCAACTCCTTTTCTTCTCGCCTTCTGAAAATTGTTATCCTGAATTTGGTTGGTGTTAGTAGCCTCATACTATTTTACTATATATAATTGTATCTCTAAATGGTATATGCACTTTTTGTGTATGTTTGACTTCATGTAATTTATAATGTTCTGAGTTTCTTTTAAGTTAACTTACTATTATTTTTAAAGTTATATCTTTTGAGTTTCTTCTGGGTTAATGCATATGTGTCTTGTTCTCATGTACTTACTGCTTCATAAATACTCTATTGTATCAATGAGTCCAGTATTTATCTATAATCTTCTTTGTGAACTTTTATTTCCTTTGTTTCTCTAATTTTGCTGTTATAGTTGCAATGATAGTCCTTGTGCATGTCTATCTTTGTACATGAGATTTTCTCAGGAATGCTCAAGTAGAACTGAAGTTTTCTGAATTGAGTGGTAATCATGCTTAACTTGACCAGTGTTGCCAGTTGCTCTGGTGAATGTGTTTTTTTTTTTTTCTTCTTCATATTTTCTGCTCCATCAAAGGAAAATTAGAACTTCTACTATTTCATTTCTTTAATAACACTTAGTATTGCTAGATAAAATCATGTACAATTTTAGTGTGTATTTCCAACATTTGCTATGATGTAAAAAGTCTTTTTGAATTAATTTAGCTTCTTTTAAGTATCTTGCTCATCTCTCCTCCATTTTATTTATTGTAGAAGTTGTATTTCTATTATTGATTTTTAAACGATGTTTAGAGATAAATACATTCACACACAAAATAAAGGCCCTTTTATTTTGTGTCTGTCCTTTGTCCAGAACTTGTGACTGTGTCACTTTACTTGAAAATAAGGTAATGTGATTAAGAACCATGAGATGGGGAGATTATCTTGGATTATCTGAGTGGGAGCAATGTACTCACATGAGTCTTTAAAAGTAGAAAAGAGAGGCAAAGATAGATCAGAAGGGTGATTCAAACCTTGAGAAGGACTAGGTTCTCCATTGTTGACTTTGAAGATGGAGGAAGAATAGATGGCATCTAGAAACAGTTTGGAGCTAATAGCCAGCAAGGAACAATGATGACATCAGTGAACTTAAGTTCAAGAGGCTAAACGCTGCCAATAATCTTGTGTTTTTTTTTTTTTTCTTTAAGATTTATCTATGCGTATAAGAACTGAGGTACGGGTGTGGGAGAATGAGAGGATTCACCAGAGGCAGAGCAGGGAGCAGAACAGGCAGATGCACTGAAACACACTACTGGGGGAGGCAGTGGGCGGGTCAGGAGAGGTCTGCCTCACCAGGTGGGCCACCTCCCAGGCCTGGAACCCAACTCAGCTGCAGCAGCTGTGGACAGCCCTATAATGCTGTCCACCAAGGAGGGCCCTCTGCCAGTAATCTGAATCACCAAAAAAGAACACAGAAATCACCAAAAAAGGAATGCTCTAGAACCTCCAGAAAGGTACTCAGTCCTGCCAACCTTTTGGTTTTTAGATTGGTGAGAATTGTATCACACGTGTGAGTGTAGAACTACAGGATAATTTATGTTGTTCAAGCTGGGTGGCTTTGCCATAGATTTGTCATATATTTATTTGGCAAACATTTTTCTCTTTATCTGCAGGGTGGTGGTGTTCTTTTGAAGTGGTATTTTTTTATGCACAAAAGTTTCGAAATATAAAGTGAGGTTAGAGTTGTTTTTTTCCCTATTATTTTTACATTATAAAATAAATCCTTCTTATATATCAATATGATAAGGACATTTTTTACCCTCCAGAGTGAGGAATTTATTTTTTTCATATGGTTGGGAACAGTTTGTTTACAGTGGATACTGCCACCTTATTTATTGACTAGCTTATTCTTTCTTCACTAAACTACACTTCCATCTTTGATTAAGTTGACCTGTGTTTTTGAACTCTCCGATTGTTTTCTTTGTACCTTTGTCTCTTTCTAATAAGTATTATAGTATCTTAATTTCAATATTTTATAATATAACTGCTGTCTGGTATACTGAGACCCCCTGTCTTGCTCTTCAATTATCTTGACTA